AGTCGGATTTCCAGCACTGATAAAACTGATAATCTCACATGTGAGATTATTTATGATAATTTCACATGTGAAATTTAAATTATCTCTTTTCAATTATCGCTTTTTTGTAAAATATTATTGCTTTTGAAACACTGTCCTTCATATAATAAACAGAAAAATACACGGATGCTTGGAAATACCAGATTTATTTCGAGTGTTGAACATGATACCTCACTCATTCGCTGTGCTCACTTTTGAGATATCATGTTCAACACTCGAAATAAATCTGGTATTTCCGCGCACCCATGTATTATTCTCTAGCTAGTATATAATAATTAAATAATAAAAAATGTTATCCAACAAAATATGACTTAATAAATACACGTGTTGTCTGTTGAGTTGCGAAATTTATGAGCAAAAGACATTCATGCGCATCGTCTGCGCATGGGCAGTTCTACAATACTGTAATTATTTTGCTCTATAGTTCTTTCCTTCCTTTTGTAAATAATACGCTCTAAGATAATTGTTTTTCTGATTTTACTGTAAATATATTAATTAATAGATAACAATGAACTATAACTAGGGGCCTAAATTAAAAAGCCTGTTAAGGTTTCTAGTAGGTCTCTGGCCCAATATTATTAGAAAATACTTGTAAATATTAACTAAGCTGTACCATGGGGAAAAAATTAAAAAAAAAAAATAGTTAGATATTTGCAAGTCAGAAATTTCGTGTTACACCTGGATTGAGGGAGGATTCAACTACCTCAAAAATGCAAATTAAAACTTCGACGTTTCGAGCCAAGGCCTTTCATAGCGCGTCAGTACGTCACAGCGTGGATCCAAAACAAAATATCTGCTTTTAGATTGAGAATATAAAAGTGATCAGGTGACAAAAAAATAGACCAATCAGTGTGGTCAAAACAAATTAGTGTGAATATTTTCATTGAAATATTATTAAATAATTTTAAATAATATTTTTTGAAAATACAATACAATAGTAACTGAAATCTAGTCGAAACGTCGAATAAACACTTGTTGTTTATCGTTTTCGGAGTATTGTATTCACAGAATATATTACTAAGGAAAGAAAGCTACACGATAATTAAAAAATATATCTGATGAGATATTATGTAACAAGTAAAAGGCATAAGCCATCGGGTGAAAATTCGGAAATTAGGCAAGGACAGATATAATTAAACATAAGAAAATTAAAACGTTCATTGGTACCATAGGGGTGGACAGTGCATGTCAAGCTTGGAAATGAGGCGCATTTCATGTTTGTTTTTTGCTATTGTCGTTAATGGTTTCACGGCACGACAATAAAGTCCTATGCGTAGTTTTGTTTACCTCTTTTAATATTTAAATGTAACGTTTTTCAAGAATGCAATTCTCTAATGAATATAACTGGAACGCTACCTGAATATAACTGGAACGCTACCTCCAACCAGAAATTTGAATATAACTGGAACGCTACCTCCAACCAGAAATTTGAAGCCAAACTTGACGGCCATGCAGTCCCAGTCTTTTCACGCATGCGAAGAGCACTCACTCAGTAAATGATGATATAGGCACGCGTGTCTTGACTTCCAAACACGCGTTTCTGGGGGGTCAGCATTGGGTTTTAAGAAAAAGATAGGCAGTATATCTGAAGGTATACTGGTAGCGTTCCAGCTATATTCATTTTAATGAAAAAACAACTTTCTGCATCTTGGATTTTCACACTAAGTGTTACTCACTTTCCTACACTATTATTGCTACCATAAATGGACACTTTTCATTTTATGACGACAGGTTGGTTGACATTTCTAGCAAGAGTGGAGCATAGAGTGGCAACGCTCACCAAAGTTTGCCTCAAAGGTCTTAGTTTAGTTCTCCCAATATAAAGCACGCCACATTTACTGCATGAGATGCATATAGATGAGATGGGACTAGGGAAATGAGGCGTAAAACTTTGTTGATATAGCTAGTGTGTATAACTTGCCAAAAAAGCTTGCGTATAACTAACAAAAGCTTGCGCATAACTTAGCACAAGCTTGTGGATAACTTCGCGTAAAACTTTGTTGATATAGTGTGTATAACTGTACTGTATTTTACTGTGTATAAGTAATGTCAATTGTCAAGTACTGTAATGTACAACATACTACGTATTGTAATACTTGTTGTGTAGTATTATATACTCTGTTGTATGTATTGTGTACTTTGTTATCTTATAATCAAACTCACTTGTAGCCAACCTCGTTCACAGGCTCTTGACTTGTAGCATAGAAGAACCACTATTTGGAAATGCCATTAAATCGCAGGTTTTACATTGAGACGCCATGATATATTTGGGAAAATCTGTCAGTTTAATGATGTTGTGCCATTCAAATGAGCGACTATTTAACAAAAACGGTCACTTATTTTGAGTATGAATTTGCTTCTGCCAGTGTAAAGGTTTTCCATTTCTGAGATTTTCAAAGACACTAACAAATTAAATTTCCCTCGTCCTTCGGCCTCATGCAGTTTTGGTCGCTTTGTAAAA